CCCGGTGGGGGCGGGAGCGAGGGACGGCCGAGGTGTTGGGACGTGGAGGGCCGCCCGGGCTTTCGGCGGCCCCGCAGCTAAAATGGCCTCCCGCGGCCTCGGAGCCCAGCCGCCACCCCCGCCCGGCCGGCTGAGGGAGGGAGCCGAGGCCGAGGCTCGGATCTCCCCCCCAGTCTCCGCCCCGCCTGTCCAGTCCCCACCTCTAATCGCCCTCCCACTTGGGGAATGGAGAGGGTGGGCGAAGGGGAGTGCCGAAGCGCGGTGCCCACCGTCCTCTTCCGCGACGCCTCCCGTGCGCCAGTCTTCGCCCGGTGCTGCGGCCCCCAGAGCCCAGATAACGTGTCGTTTTCTCGGGTACTTCTCCTTCGGCTCCTCCTGTCCCTCCTCTCGAATCCTGCAAACAAACTGCGGGTGTCACTACATTCATTGGGTTCCTTTAGTTTTTTTTCCTCCGGGGAGAGATGTAAACACACCAACCACCTGTGAATTTGTAGTTTGTAGACTGGAAAAGATGTGCGAAGTTTCTAGTACTGATAAATGAATCCATGGCCTTGTTCTAACTATTGAGTTTAGGCTGGGGGTGATGGGGGCGGTAATAATTCCCCTTGGTGGGTCTTTCTCCTGGGGCGTGGGGGTGGGGGGAGGTGCAAGTGAGATTATACTGATTTACTGTGATGCATCCTATGAAATCTCTACGTTAAGGGAAGCTCTAATTTCTGAAGTGTCTGTAGCTCATTATACATCTTATCAAAAGAGAAAAACACGCTAGATTTTTTGTGTGTGTGTGTGTGGTCGTTGTTTTTGAGTCAGAGACATTCTCTTCAGATTCAGAGCATAAACCTACAGGGTTCCTAAGTGACAAGTTTTTTATAGAGAGGGAGATTATATTAGATATCTGTGTGTTAACTATCTAGTTAAACCCAGGTAATTTTTTCATCTCATTAACTTCAAGCGTTGGGTTGTGTAATGGAAAGGGCATCATCACTGGGAATCAGAAGACCTGGCTTCCCTGTCTTTTTTGCTCTTGATTTTATGACGTTGGGGACATACTTATTTGGGCTATCATTTTCCTCATCTGTAAAATGAGATATTGGGCTATCTTGGGTAAAAGCCTGTAATTCTGAGAAAGTTGCCGTATTTCATGGATTTCTGAGATGCCATTTATTTGTAAAGGGTGACGTTATTTTATGTATCATTAAAAAAAATTGCTGCCAATTAAAATATACAATGCTTAAGACCCCATTGATTTTAAGAGCTGTTAAAATGTGTGTGCATTATATTTATGAAATTGGTATTAAATTTTTATAATTGTTTTAAATGTCTTGAATGCATGTGGCATTTTTTACATTTGTTTTATCTTGAGACATATTCCAGAAAAAGGACTGAGATGACAAATTATTGGGGCAAAATCTTGGGGCTTTTCAGATATTAACAAATTCTTTGCTTATAAGTTGTGATAATTAAACTAACAAAGTGTCAGTTACTTTGATAAAACCTTTTAGAGCCAATAATTTTTGTGGGGAGAGAAAAAAAAATCAAGCCATTTTCTTTTTCTGGGAAACAAGATAGCTAATCAGCATCTGTGCTGTAAATCCTGTGCTACCAAAGTACTATGTGTTCTAGACAAAGCTGTATTTAACCATTAAAAATGTGACTTGTTTCACACAGTATTTTTTGTTGTTACTGTGGGCAGAGTGATAAATTTTAGGATTATTTACTTAAAATATAGTGGGTTCTTTGGCAGTTTTGAAGTATTTTTTCTAGTGCATAGCTACAGACAAAAAGGGGGGAGGAAATGCCAACTTAAAGATACTTCATTTTTTTGACAAAATAGTTGCATGTATGTAATTTATTTTAGTAAGAAAACTAGTACAGAATTTCTGTATCTAATTTCTTCTTTGGTTTTGAATCTCCTCAAGTTTCAGTAAACTGTAACAACCATCCAAATCCGTAAATTGCTTTTTATGTGTATGTTTAATGAGGAAAGACTAGTCTTTGGACTATACTTATTTATGCATAGGTATGTCAGCAAAATTAATTGTTAATATGCTCTGTCCTTTTGTATAGATACAGTACATGGAAAGTTACTTGCTTTTAATGGGAAGAAATCAGGACCAATAATGCTAATACTTTGGCTCAAGGAAGATAAGTAGCAATAATAAAAGGATATGCAAAGAATGCAGTGATGATGCTTATTTTTCTTCTGTCTAGAAATCTCTATAGTGTAACTTTTAGATGGAAGACCAAGGCTTACTTTGCAAGTTTTTTGTTGCTGTTATTTGTGGGTTTTGTTTAAAGCATGAAAACTTGGGGAAATTTTAAGCATTTACAAGTGGATGATTAGAGTGGTTGCTACACCTGTCGTTGAATACAGATAACTGAAAGTAACCTAAATCTTCATTGCATTCTGGTTCTTAGTTTTCTTGGTAATAGCTATGTAAAGCTATAAATTCTGCTACTTCTAACTGCTAACCTCTAGATAAACTAAGTTTTTCATTTGTATAATGCATATTAAATATTTTTGTGATAAGCATTTACTTAGTCTTTGTGCTGCACGTTCCATCAGCTACTGAATATTTTTCTTCCTTTTTGTATATTTTTAAGTCAAGTAAATAAACCTACTGTGCCCATTTGCCACTGTAGCAAATGCAATCTTTTCATTTTCTGACCTTTCATGTGCTTTTTCCCCTTGGAAATGAGGAAATCAAAATATTTTAAAGTATTTGTATGTGTTTATGTGTGTTTTGTGGTAGAATTAATTTGTGGGGCACAGAATGGAGCAGATCTCAAGTATAGTGAAAAAATAGGATGGCTTCACAGCAGAAAGGGGACTTGGTTGGGTAGGTAACCTACTTTAGTAGAGTTACCTTTTTTGTTTGAGAAGATAGGCTTATGGATAAATCTAATTTTGTAAACTTGGGAAAAAGTATTTCAACTTGGGGTAGCAAAGAATGTGGGGACAGATAATCCTCAGTAGAAAAAAAGCTTTCTGATAGTTTCATAGGCTCAAAATCATTTTTTTTTTTCACTCCTTCATTGGAGGTGATACGGAAGTTCTCATAGGTATTTACTTGTAGAAAGGAATTTGTGGCAGACACAAATATATGTATATGTAATATAAATATAAAGTAATCATTATATTCCATTATTAGGACATAAACATTTCTTTGAGTTTTAAACAGCCAGTTTTCCTTTACTTGTTACTTAGAAAAGCCTTGGACATATCAATTTCTTGTCATCTATCTAATCAAGCTTCTTGTCTGTTACCTGGATAACCTAAATCTTTAGATTGTGCTTAATTAAACTAATTTTCTTTGTCCTATATATAACTTAGTGTATCATTGAATAACTTCAATAAAGTTAGCTATTTGAAAAAATCATTTGGCAACTTTTTTTTAACCCTTCTTATATCTAGTATTTATTGAATTCAAAGGCTTTAGGGTAGAGATTGTATAAAGATGCAAAATAATTACATTACCCCCATATTCTTAGAGTCTTAGCAAGTATTGTTAAATGGTAAATATTTAAGTGGATCGTGGCCGTTTGCTGGACATTAGTTTAAGCATCTGCTAGGAAGGCATCTCATCCAGTGATTCTTGAGATATCTTTAGTATGTCTGTTCCTAAAGGATAATTATCTCTTCACATCACTGAGTTAAATAACTTGGGTAGGATGATTAGCTGGTGAATTTTCCTTTTTCTCCTTCTCTTCCTTTTTTACTTTATTTTGAATGTAGTGTTAAGAAAACTATGTCTTGAGGAAAGAATAAGAGTAACACTAGTAAGGTAGAAAAGGAGTAATCACTAACTGAGAAGGTGAAAAACCAGGTGAACAGGTTGCTGAAACCAGTCATGGTGATGGAAATTTACTGGCTCTACAAAAAAATTCTGCAACTGCTAATTATATCAGCTTTCATTGTTGAATCAGAGATCTTGGGATTCATATTGCATGAATGAGTTTGAAATAATGAAAATGTTCTAAAACGATTGCTGCTGTTACATTGATGATATTTCCTGTCTGTTATTAATAGCCTTAAGAGTAGTTGTGAGCCAAAATATTCCTGTATAGAATGTTTAAGGTGTATGTTCATGGTTTCGTAAACGGCTTTACAATATACTGTCGGGAAGAGCATAGATTTGGAGCTTGTTAGACTTAGATTTGAATCCCAGCTCTATTCCATCAGTCACTTGGCCAAATCACTTCATTTTTCTGAGACTGTTCCCTCGATTAACTTTCCTTCAGGTAAAGATTATATAAAACCTTCTACCCTAGTACCTGATTTTTCAGTAGGCATTTTACCAATGTTAGTTTTCTATAAAGTGTAGGTATTTGAATAATACTGTAAGGATTTTAAAGGAACTCCTTAATTGATGTCTTTCATATACTTTATATAGAGAACTTCCTAATCTCAAAGTAAAATGTTTTAAAAGTAGGTACTTGAGTATCAATTGATAGGTCTCAATTTCCATGTCAGTTTAATGGGGAAGGAAGGAAATTTTTTATTTGCAAGCAACAGACAAAAATACGAGAAATAATAAGTATTCAGCAAATTTTCTGGATCTAAGATCCGGCAAAAATTGGTAACATTACTGTTTCAGCAATATTGAGTTAATAAAATTTCAAATTAAATCTTGTTTTTATATAGCCACAAAACTTATTAAGTAGAAATAAAACTAATGAGATATGCAGAATGCTTAAGGAAAAAATACATTAGGATATAAAGCCCATAAAAGAAGACATAAATAAATGAGGATGGGCTGGGTTTGTGGAGTGAAAAAAATCGATACCATCAGGTTATCAATTTTCTCCTAAGTAATCTATATATTTAATGTAATTCCAGTAAAAATCACAACAGGTTTTTTGGGATAACTGGATCAAAAGAGATTCTAATGTTGGTAATGAAGATAGTATTTGTCCAAAAGTAGGACTTGTCCAAAAGACTTGTAAGATATGACAAGGAAGGTCTTGTGTTATCACATACCCAAACTTTGTTCAACAGGAGAATGTGGTATTGTACAGGGATAGACAAACAGATCACTGGATTAAAATAGAGATGCCAGGGTTCTGGGATCGAGCCCCACATCTGACTCCCTGCTTGTAGAGGACAAATTTGTGAAATAAAGATTACATTGGGCTTTTTTTTTTTTTTTTTAAGATTTTATTTATTTATTTGAGACAGAGAGAATGAGAGACAGAGAGCATGAGAGGGAGGAGGGTCAGAGGGAGAAGCAGACTCCCCGCCGAGCAGGGAGCCCGATGCGGGACTCGATCCCAGGACTCCAGGATCATGACCTGAGCCGAAGGCAGTCGCCTAACCAACTGAGCCACCCAGGCGCCCCTGGGCTTTTTTGTTTTAATATAAGTCTTTTCATATATGATATGTATGATAAAATACATTTTTAGGGAGTAACACATGATATTTAATGAGCATCTACAATATGTGCAGTCCCTGCACTCAGGAGTTTACACTTCTGTGAGATGGGAGTGGGGACAGATATACCTGCAAATAACCATGCCATGATAATGATCATACCTGAATT